ACTGCCAGTAATGATCTCTAGACTAAATGGAATGGCTGTCATGTTGATCCACTAGCTTTGCCATGTTCAAAATTGCTGACACAGTCCTTATCTGCCTACTTGTCTCAAGAAGTTACTAAAGGTATTGAAGAGGGTAAACCCAATAGCCAGAATTTTTAAAAAAATAAATAAAAAACAGTTTCACAATGGCAGTCTGTGTTTCTCTGACTGAAGTAGCGGCTGTATATTTTAGCCAGAGAAAAAGGATCATACTTACGTTTTGCAATGTTATGGAGTGCGCTACTTGATCACATTCAATTTCCTTAGTATTTTCAGTAGAAGCGTCTTCCTCTATATATTTGCGCTCATCACTGTGAAGAAATTCCTGATAATGTAAAAGAAAAAATGATTTAGGTAATCTAAACCCCAAAGTAAACCATTGGCAGAAATCTATAAAAGGAAGTGATCACTCATATTACAAACCTAACAAATTATAACAATGACACATTGATAAGGGACTACTGCAAGGCCTCTATTCTGACACCTGCACAGAGATACAGGTCAGGTGTCTGGATTAAAGCCAAACTGCAGGGGGAAAAAAATGATTACATAGAGTACTGGGAGTGTAAATTATCACTAAAAAGCTGTATGTTAAGTGCAGAGGGTTTCTGCAAAGTATAAAAATCTTGTAGCATGTCGGCATCTACACCTAACAATCAGCTTCCGGACACTGCAGGACGAGAGGGATGCGACTAGAGTGAAGTGCTCCAGTCACACACCTGCCCCTCCTCGCCTATTCACAAAATGCCTTGGGGAAGGGGGGGGCTTATCAAAACTGGAGCAGACAAAATCTGGAGCAGCTGAGCATGGCAACCAATCAGCTACTCTCTTCTGTTTGGCCAGTTAAAGGTGCCCATACACCTGCAGCTTATCATACAATAATCGCGGGTGATCCCACGATAATCAGCAGGTTAGCAGGCAGCGTGCAACCGCATCTACTGTACGTTCACACGAATTTAGTCTTCCTAGCACGCTGGAAAACCTGCCGAAAATTGTACGATTTGCGGCGGTTTGGTGAGCGATCGCAAGACGAAAGCCGCACGGGCCGCAGGCGCACACTGCCCGCTCAGCATTGCATTTGACGGCAAGCCCTCCCCTCAGGGGGGAAGGGCTTGCGATGATCACAAGTACGATCTGCTTGTCAAAGATGGGCAGATTGTACAACATTTTTAATATACTACCTGAAAACTACAGGAAAGAAGAATCACTTAAGGTAAGTCGTTATACCAGCATGGGGGGGACATTTTAGGCTTTAATGTCACTTTATAGAAAAACACAACAACAGATTTGGTTGAACAGTTAGCACTGTGGCCTAGTAGCACTAGGGTTCTAGCACGTATCTGTGTAACTGTGGCACAATGTATATCCCACTGCACTCCTTACCGGTTTGCCCCTTGGAAATGGGTGCTGAAGTGGCTGCAGATGGCGCAACTTAAATCCAAACAGGAGGTATGTCACCAGCACACTGGAATGAAATGTTCAAAGAATGTCTTTATTGATGCATGTACAACATGTCACAAAGAAGGCAACGTTTCGGGGGCCATTCAGTCATAATGAGATTGATTAAGGGACATGGAGTGGCCCCAAATGTTGCCTTCTTTTGACATGTGCATGCGTCAATAAAGACATTCTTTGATCACTTAATTCTGGTGTGCTGGTGACATACCACATCTGTTTGTGTAAATGTGGTAGGCACATTAGACTGTAAGCATCTTTGTACTCAGGGAATGATATGAATGGTCCTACATACTGTATCCTGGGATGCACTGAAGAATTTGTTGGTACTACATAAAAATAATAAAATGTGTATTTAGTTGATTGCTAGGTTTACACTGACTAATGTGTTTTTCTTACTTACCATCAATTATAACTATGACCCCTGAGTTTTCCAAACAATCCTCTTATGCAGAAATACAATGGCCTACATTCGTTTATAAAAATGACCATATACTCAAACTAGCAGATGTATCGTATCATTGCTTAAAAACTTTACCAGCATGCAGACATTTTTTAATAATCAGTGAAACACTTACGTCAATGGTTGCAAATTCATTGTAGCAACTGTGATGCATTAGAAACCACTTCACAGTAATCTTAACCAGTTTGGTGCACCGCAGGTTCTCAACTGTGAAAGACAGTGAATACATATATTAGAAAAACTACATTTTCAGGAAAACTGATATTAAAGCGAAACAACTCCCAATAGGAACACCAGCTTAGAACACGTTGCAGTTATTACAAAAATGCCAAAACCAATACATTGTAATACACAGCTAGATCAAATAAACCTGTACGGGGAGAGGTACAAAAAAAAAAAAAAAAGTAGCACACCGTTGCAAATACCATATGATGAGACATACAATAATAGTGACCATCAAATATCCCCTAGCAGCACTAATAATTTGCCACACAAATGGTATATATATACAGGGCTCGAAAAATCCACTCGTTCACTCGTCTGTGACGAGCAGACAGTGGAGCACGACGAGCAGCTTCCCGGCCGGCCGTTGTAATTACAAGGCCGGCCGGGAGCTTA